CAATGTTGTGCTTTTTTGTACATTTTTTTCAGTATTTCTTTTTGTGAACACATCGTTTTATCAACTTTTTGAATCTCTTTTCTTTTTTTTCAAAAAACCGAACATTTTTTACACGAAAAGTTTTATACAACACGTTATGTCCTTTTAAATATTTTAGACAATTTTTTATTAAATTTTACTACGTTTTCTTCTCAAAGAATATGAAAACGATATGTACCATGAGAATTAACTCAAGACTTATTTCACCTAATACAACATCACCAACCACGAGCAGCCGTTATTTTTTGACGAGCACCACAATATAACGTATAATGATCCCTGTTTTCTCAGCCTCCCTCGTCGAGGCATCGAGTCCCTCTCTCTCTCTCTCTCTCTCTCTCTTTTTTTTTCTTTTTTTTTATTCTTTCAATATTTAGACGAAACAACTGCGCTTGCTAAAACGATCAAACGCAGGTCCTTTAATCGAACGTTCTTTCCCCCAGAGGCGTCTTCGTAAGGATCAAGGATAAAAATCTACACGTAGAGTGTTTCAAGTGTTCCACCTGCGGCACTTCCCTGAAGAATGTCGGCTATTACAATATCAACAATAAATTGTATTGCGACATACACGCGAAATTAGTCGCCAGACAAAACGCACCAGCTGGCTTGGTTCCAATTACCATACCGCCGTAAGTGTTACGTCACAAAGATACGACAGAATTATACGACGAAATACGCGCGGAATGTAAATAAAATGCTAATTAAATGCCACAGAGGCGGAAAGGCTCCTGCGAGTACGATTTCCGCTGCTCTCGCGAACGCGCCGTTGTCCCCGCCATTGAGCAATCACACGTCGTCGCCTCAACCATTCTCTGTGAGTATTGTTCGTGCAACGTTTAACACGCTTCAACTTATAGACTCAACTGAAGATCCATTTTGCATCCAGTATTGCTTCTATTCGCGCTCGCAAGCGGCATCGAGTTGATCGTTTGACTTTGCTTCGATCTTGCCTGATGACATACTTCGGCATTGTCGTGGGAATTTAATCTGATTTTCATTTGAACGAATTAATTCCATTGAAGATTTCGCCCAAAGAGTTTCGAACTAAAAATAATAGTTAAGACTTAACTGGCTCGTGTGGTGTTTGCTCGGCACTAATCGCTTTTCCAGGCTTACAATCGTTCGAGCCCCGATTACGGATCCCCGAACTCTCAGCTATCGTCGCCGAATAGGAACGGATGCATCACCAACGGCAACTGTCACTGGGAATCGAAAACGTTTACGAGCACGATCACCATTCAGACCGGTTGTACAGAGGTTCGCAAATACCGGTGAATTTTATCCGACTGTCGTTCAAACACCGATATGTTTGCTCCAATGTGTTAGTCAAACGTTCTCCGATACGAACGATAAATCGTCGAGTTGATAATCAGCTTCGTCGACATTGTTCTGTCGACTTCGAAGATCCTCCATCGTCCGAAAGATCTGACTCTGACAGTGAGTTATATTTGAAAGTAAACAGTAAAGTTTAAAATATACGCGCTGAGTCAAGCAGCTTGAATGAAGCGCGGGATAGAAATAAAAACGGATGAAAGATGGAGACAGTCGAAGTTCGACAGACGAGCAAAGACATAGACGGAGTGACAATTATTATTGCGATGTTCGACCTGATCGTCCTTCTAATCCGCGAACTTCCTCAACAACAGACTCGAGAATAGGCTTGTCAGCTGACAATTTTGATCGTTCGCGCGTCGGCGACGATTATTTCGATGGTGTGACTAATTAGCCTGGCGCGATTACGAGTGTGCGTGATGCCCCCGCTCTCCCGCGTTGTCTCTCACCCCCTTTTTTAATTGCCACTTCTTCCACGTGACATCGTTCTATGTCGTTTTATGTATTGCAGCCCACCCGTCTTGGCACGTCGCCCGTCGATCCACCCAGTTTCCGATCAGTCCAGGTAATATCCGTACGCGGCTCGCCTTAAGCGTCTCACACTCGAAACCTTACGCTTGGTAAGGTACGTCCTTAGCGAACCGATGAAAATCACGCCGACCGCGGTGCCGCTGCTTTGAATACCAGATATGTTCTCCAGAGAAGTACGTCGCGTTTAACCGAGACAGAGAAAAAAAGAAAGCGCTCGAAACGAAAAGACCCCCTTGCTGTGTGACTCGAGAGCATGGAGAATATATCGCGAGACGCTTGTGCTTGAGAATTCGTCGTAACTTTTTGTTCCGTGAACTTGGTGCGCGGGAGGGTAATTAATCGGTGACTCTGCTACTAGATTTCTCTCAAAGTTGTCGTTTCTTTCAGAGAAAAACGCGCCGATCTGTGGACAAAATTTAGCCCCGTCGCGATCGCAGCAGTAAGACCGGTGTATCGATTTCTTTTTTTTTTTTTTTTTTTCTGTGTGTTTTCGATGCAACGTGAGCTCAAGGCAGCGGCGAATGTAATTCACCAGTGTTCGTCGTTCGTTTCTAATACTAATCGCATTTGTCATGTTGTTTGTCACGGCGCCTCGTTAATCTCACGTCTAATGAAATTACACCATACGTGTACCTGTATTGTCGTACGTTGAAAACGCAAACTGTCATTGTGCATTTATTACTTACTTTCGATCATTCGACCGTGTGTTAACCACATCACTTTGCTTTGAACGAACAAAGAAATTAAAAGACAAATAATCGAGTATCTTTTAATCCTCGCAGGCTCCAACGTCGAACAACTTGATTGGTCCTAAACCGTTCGGAGGATCGAGTACCGTGTCATCGCCGCCGTTGCTGAACTCAGGAAACAGCACTCTACCTCGACCACAGAGTCAGACTGTGACCGGTAAGTTCATTCGTTTTGTAACTCGCCGCGGCTAGATTCGTCGCCAATCTAAAGATTGAAAAGTCAATTTCTTGCGACGGTCGTCGTCGAAATCGTCGTCGAGACGTGCGTGAAATCGTTCTTCCATCTTGTAACGGCTTGTCATTACATAATTGACGATCGCATTATGCAACGAACACGGTTTGAAACGGAAAGGGAAACTTCGAAAAAAAAACAACGACGGGATAAAATGATTCCTCTTCCTCGTGGATGCACGACTTTAGAGTACCTCTGCTTTTCGCCCTGATCGTTGACGTGCATGAAATTCCGCGTCGCGACGCCGCGCATTCTAACGATAATTACGACAGGCACGCCAGGGGACAGTCATGTCAACGTGGCAGGAAATAAAAGCGGAAATTGCGGTCGTATAAATTACCGATGACAAGCTCGACTTTCCCGTCTGGTATCTGGAGGAACGATCTCTGGTCGATCGGTGTAATTCTAATGGCGGAGCCCGCCTATTATCCTTGGCCTCACATTGTCTTCGATTGTTGCAAATAGGTCTCTTCTCGGCATTGCCAAAGCCAAAAAATACGCCCTTCAGAGGTACGGCGATTTGATCCAAATCCTCTGGCCGAGTTTCTAGCTAATACTTTGGCTAATACGCCCCATTTGGCTTGCATCCCTCGCATTATCTTTCTCTCTCTCTCTCTCTCTCTCTTTCTTTCTTTTTCTCTTTCTCCACTCGCATCTCCGTTCATTCACAACGATCGGTAAATTATTCGATCCGATTTCCTCAACCATTGCCATCGAACCGATTTTCGTGAGTTTTTTTCTTTTCTTTTTTGTCGTTTGCAAGCTCTCTATCTAACTCCGCTTTCATCCGCTCGTCGTTCTCGCGACGGCGACGACGAACCCTGAGAGCTGACGTTTCATTCTACATTACGACATTCTCGATACCATCGGCATCGTTATCATTATCATTATCGGGGTGACACATTTATTTGGACTTCGATCGAGGGCTATGAGTGAACCTATGGAGCAACGATGATGCAGACTGATCGAAACGAAACTGGGACGACTGAATCGAGACCTGAATAGCGTATAAATGAGTCAAGTCTGTTTCGATAGAAAGAGCTTACGTAACGGTGAACAAACTTCAGATAGAAGTGTCTACGAGCTGCTTCTTTTTCCTTGTCGATGTGTCTTTTTTTATTTTTTTATTTTTTTTTTTTTCTTCTTACGTTACTCACACGCAGTAGCGAAGAATTTTATACACGCATACAACGAGCGAAACGAACGGTTTGCAAAATCGGGAATCGGATAAAAAGTCAAAAACGTACCGTTTATACTCCTCCAGACATAATTTTTTCTTTTCTTATCTTTTTTCAGCCGGTCCATCTTTCAACCCGAAACCCAGACCTTTCTCCCTCACATTCGCATGAGTCGGTAGCTCTCAGCTACGCCGTCGTCGTCTTCGTGCTGACAGCCGAGATCGAACAATCCAATTCTATGCAATGACTATTTATATATTCGAGGCTCACGATTCTTCTTCAATCTCGAACACAGCGATTCGAAACGGAACTTAAAAACTTTCTGCAGCCGTTCCAATTTGCCCGATTTTCTCTTCTCTTATCGATCGAAAGAATCGGTGATTTCGACATCAAGAAGATCGTGGCTCGAATCGTGCATCATTGTTGACAAATGATTTTTCTCGTAAAGTGTTGAGAAACTTACTGCAATTGCGAAATAAAACGATGGTTTAAGCCGAACAAACTCTTCTCGCTCAATACATGTTGCTCCTCTTTCCATTTCTTGTTATATATCTATATATATAAATATGCACACTTATACAGATGTTGACACATCTTCAAGATCCTTCAAAGTATCGTTGATTAACTTACATTCTCTACCTGGCTTCGCATCGACTCCTCCGAGATGCACTCGAAATTGATGTTTCGTTTTTTTTTTTTTTTTTTTTTTGTCTCACGATCGTCTAGAGACGCAATTGATCTTCGAATGTAGAATGTGTGACAACACAGAGAGTGTTCGAGTGCCGAACGATTTTGGAGAAGTGCGACTGCTCACTCGTAACGCTTAACGATTAACGCGCCGATCAATCGCTTTAGTCGCTGAAGCTTTGGTCTTTTTCTTTTTTTTCTCATCGTTCAAACGTAGCCAGTCGATCACAAAGCAACGTACATCTTCGTTATTCTGGTTATCGTTTGTTATCATTTTTTTTTT